TCAGGAAATAGTTTCCTTACATTTTCTCTTCACAATCTCAAATTTGCATTATGTCTTCCTTTCTCAGAACTCCAAGAATGAGAGAGAAGAAACTCCACTCTTTTCCAAAGCTTGCTTTTCCACATGGATTTGGATACCATTTTCTTTCATTTCCTCTGGGACTTTGTTTCATAATTCATCTCCTGTCTTTCCTCTGCTCAAATTCTTTCTCATTGCCGGCTCCTGCCCTCAATCAGATAAACGTGCTCAACCATTTTGGGGAGATTAATTGCGCAGGTAAAGTTTTACCTTTTACAGAGAGGTAAAAACTGAGCCAGAAAATTCCATCAGAAGGCCTTTTCCAGAGTCCAGGTGAAAGGCAAAGGGAACCTGAGAGGGGTAGTGAAAGGAAGCATAGAGAACATGTGAATCAGAGAGGATTTTGTTGTCAGAATGACTCTTGTTTAGTTGTTACTTATGACTTTGTCTTATTTTCCCTCCGTTTTGCCAGTTCCTGGGGCAAAGATTGTGTCAGATTCATGTCACTTTACCTCACAAAATCTGGCTTGAATGAACAGTTAGAATTCCCTCAAAATATGTGTGTATGGTGGGGAATGCTGCTCTTTGGAATTTGTATTTTTTTTAAAAGATTTTATCTATTTGAGAGAGAGAGAGAGAGAGAGCACATGGGGTGGGAGGTGGGGGCAGAGGGAGAAGGAGAAGCAGACTCTCCCCGCTAAGCAGGGAGCCCAACACGGGCCTGGGCCTCGATCTCAGGCCCCGAGATCATGACCTGAGCAGACGTTTAATCAGCTGAGCCACCCAGATGCCCCTGAAAGGTGCATTGTTTTTTTTAAAGACATTAGTTGGCAAGCAAGGGAAAGACATCCCCATATTAGGAAGAAGAAAGGGGTAGACCTTTGCTCCTCAAATTGTGCTCCGTTGTATTAGTTTCCCTTTGCTGTAGCAAATCACCATAAATTTAGTAGCTTTAAATAACACGAATTGATTATCTTACATTTCTGGAAATCAGAAGTCCAAATGGTTATCATTGGGCTAAAATCAAGATGTCAGCAAGGCCTGTGTTCCTCTCTGGAGGCTCTAGGTGCAAAATTTGTTCTCTTGCTTTTTCCAGCTTCTAGAAGCTGCCTGCACTCTTTGGTCATGGCCCCTTTCATCTTCAGACTAGCAATGGCCTGTCAGGTCTTTTTCACATTGCATCACTCTGACATTGACTGTCTTCCTCCTCCTTCCACTCACAAGGACCCTGTGACTGTATTGGGACCACTGAGATAATCCAGGATAATTTCCCCATTTCAAAGTCATCTGACTAACAACCTTAATTCTGTGCAACCTTAATTTGTCATGTAACCTAACATATTCAAAGATTCCAGGGGACTGAGACATGTATGTCTTGGGGGGCCACTATTATGCCTACCACATCCTTGGACAAGCAGCATCTACATCACCCAGGAGCTTATTAGAAATGCAGAATTTGGGGCTCTGCCCCAAGCATCTGAATCAGACTCTGCATTCTGATCAGATTCCTAGGTGCTTTGAATGTACTTTAAAGTTTGAGAAGCCACAACTAGCCTATCTCTAAGATCTTCTCTACTTTAAACGTCTCATGAGTCTATGAAAATTGCATTTTTTTCCACTTTCAAATCTTCATTATTCCTTCTAATCCTGGTTTCCTGCCAAAAAAAAAAGTTAATTTTGATTTGTACCCCTGGTGTTAATTCCCAAAAAGTCAGCCAAGTAGAACCTGACAACACCTCGTGCATATTTTTTTGCTGGCAGAAAGTAGATGTTAGAAAAGGCAATTAAATTATAGAATTATCCGTGATGCAGAGGTACTGGTCTACAAAGAGTATCTTCTTCCTCAAAAAGATTCATAAGAGAAGTGCCTTCATTAGTGTGTAGATAGTATTACTGGTCCAGCAAGTGAAGCAAAACGTACACCGATGAGCTGTTTTTAAGGCATCTCTGAACGGCTCAGCATTTGAGAAATGTGACCAAAGCTGATTATAAAATTCCTTTCAAAGTTGCAGGAATGGCAAACCCATAAATAACTCTGGTTCCCACTGATGTGAAAAGGAGGTTGCTGGCTGTTCGATTGCTGTCCTTATTGTAGGGGATAAGATTAAGCTGCAAGATTCCAAGCTCCTCAAGGCTAGGACCAGCCATATACAGTGCCTGGTACCTAGGAGGGGCTCCATCCATTTTGGGCTTGAATACTTTTTAATACTGCGATACTTTACGCTGAATTTCAGAAATGCACTGGGGAAAAAACGGATAAATAAAACTGGAATATTTCAGGGGCCATCTTACTAGACTCCCTACTTCCTTCAGTTCATTCAGTTGTTCATTTGCCAATTCAGCAAACATTTATGAATCATCTACTGAATGCCACCCATTGTTCTAGGCCCCCATAAATATAAAACTATGGTCTCTCTCACTCAGGAGCTCATATTCCAATGGGACAAAGAGTCACATGAGTAATTATGCCAACTTGAGTGCAGGAAGAGGTATGTGAACAAGGCTCATGGGCCTTCTCCGCTCTGTCCTTCACATTCTAACTGGATTTATCTGTAAAATTGTCCATTTCTCCCCTTTGCCAATTGAATCAATTATTTGGCTTTATTATTTTTATTTTCAGCCCTAGCTGCTAGTGTAGCATCTAAGCACTTGCTCCTTATTATAGAGAGTGAAACCCTCTCAAACTAGTGCAAATACAAGAGAGGTTATTAGAATGGTCTGGTAGGGTCTCATGAGACTTCAAGAAACGTTAAAGAAGCAGGGAAGGCAGGAAGTGAGGCAGCTCCAGAAAGAGCCCCTCTTCACCTCCACTCTGTTCTCTCGCAGTGTGTCAAATAGTCCAGATGCCCCAGGCTGACAATCTGATTAGCCCACATTGTCTTTTCTGCCAGGCCACTTCCTGACCCCTGTGATCATTGTTACTACATCCTGATTGCTTCCTTCATATCACTCACTTAGCATGAGTTGCAATTATATACATTTCAAATTTACACATTCACATGTCTTTTCCTGTATAGGTTTGTTGTGACCGTATCTGTTTTGTTGCTCCTGTATCCAGCCACTAGTACAGTGCCTGATCTTAGAAGGCATTTAGTGAATAAATAATGAAAGAAGGAGCAAGGGGTGGGGGTGGAGAAAGCACATGTTGTTAGTTACCATAGAGATGGGCTTCCTTATGGTACATCAGCTTGCGGGAGAGGGACAGATTGAGAAGAGCCCTGGGTCCACTGACCGTTCAGTGAGGCTGTGCAGGACGTTTCTTAAGAAGAGGGGTATCCAAGTAAGTTTTGGCCATCACCCTAGCCACTTCAAAGACATGCCGGAGGGACCCTTCTTCTTCGTGGCCCAATGTAAATGTGCCAACACTTTTTAAAATTTATTGAGCTGCTAATATATGCCAAATTCTGTATCAAACACTTGACATGCATCATCTCTGTTCATTTTTACTGAGACTCTAGCAGGTAGTTTCCTCATTTTACAGCTACAAAACCAAGTTTTAACAATTTAAACAGTTCCTCCTAGGTCCTAGAGCAAGCATGTAGCAGGACCAAGACTAGACCACAGGTCTGTTTAATTCCAAAGCTCCTTCTGAGACATTTGGCTGTCTCCTCTGTATTCTCCCCTCCTTGGGCAAACGTTACGTCTCCTTTCTCTGTAGTACCACGCACCTTGTTCATAAAGACAGCACAGGCTTACCATACACTTTCAGGTACAAGGGTTCTGGCCCCACTGCTACACTCCTGTCCCTCTTGGGGCAGGAACTGTATCCGGTTCCCTTCTGTGTCCTCAGGGCCTGTGCCTTAGTGGGGACTCAAGCAATATCTGTCTGCTGGGCTGGCCTTTGGAATGATAGGCAGTTACTATGCTATTTTATATTTTTAAAATTTCACAAAATACTATGAGTACCTAAAAGAAAGTAAAACTACCGAGTCTCCTAAATATCCTTCCCATCTCTGTTATTGAAATTTAGAGGACAGATGCATATTCTCCCTACCCATATAATGTTGAGGTCATACCAGAGTCAGCTGACCCACCCCCTGGCCCCCCTGTTATTGTGGACGGTAAATGCAGAGTGATGGGAGGGCCCGAACCTGCTGGCAGGATCTTCCTTCGACTCAAAACAGCAGCTGGATATAGCTACATGTTGGCATTCTCTCACTCAACAAATAAGTTAAGTACCTACTCCGTACACGGATATTAGTCAGGTGGGGTGGGCATGCTGATTATGCAGGAAGGTCTGAGAGGAGGACTCTTGCCCTCATGTCGCTTACCATCTAGTAACCACAGCACATACACACTTAGGATAGAGTAGAAGGTGCCATGTGTAAAGAGACCTCCTGATAAAGGCTGTGGGAATTGAAAGGAGGCGAGATGACTTCTGGCAGGGCTAGCAGAGAAGGACTTCATGGAACCCGTGGCGTTTCAGCTGGACTCTACGATTTGGACAAGCAGATACCTCCCATGTCAAGGGCAAAGCTCACAGAGGCGGGGGTGGGGAGCTAATACTGGGCAGAGCGGGCGGGGGGCGGGGTCGTTTGGAAGGGCAGGTTGAAGGCTAGGTCGTAGAGCTGTAGCTTTCTTCTTAAGAAAGGGAGTGAAATGGCGGTGATTATACTTTAGGAAGTGCAGTCTGGCAGTAGCCTAGCAATGAATTTGCAGGGGAGACGCTGGAAGCCGAGGGAGCAGTTATTTCATGTTTATTGGAGAATACTGGGTCTTTACTGATCACACAGCTGTGTAGGTGGATTGGAAAGCTTGGTCAGAGCACCATTTTTGAAACTCAGACATAGTCTAAGTGACTCATCAGTAAGCCAAGAAGAATTTGTAAGGAGTCATCACAGACAGGCTCACAAAATGCACACTGTGGACGAGGAAATCCGCTAACAGCTCTTAAACCAGACAACTCAAGTCTCGGGGAGGCAGGTTAATGTGGGAAACTGAAACCAAACAGCGTCTGTGAAAGCCACCCGGCCCCGCCGCCTGCAGCCGGCGGACCGCCAGCAGGGCGGGCCTGAGGCAGAACGGGGCCGAGCCTGCCGAGCCAGATAGAAAGCCCCAGAGAGCGGAAGGCACGAGACTGAAACGCTGAAGGTGAAATCAAAACAGCTTTTCAGGTGCAAAAGGCAGATTTCCCAATTGCAAACTGAATTTGCCAAAGCAGATTTAAATTAGTAGAAGCACAACGAGGGAACAGTGATTCGAGAAAGGTAAAGCAGTTGCTAAACGAACCGCGGCCGAGCTCGGGGTCCCGCTCGTCACCGGACAGCCTGCGCCGCCGCCTGGCCCGCCCCTCCCGGACCGCGCTGCCGGCGGCGGCAGAGCCCCGGGGGGACGCAGTCGGTGCGGCTTCCAACAGGGGGCTTCGGGGGCGGGGCGGGGGAAGCTGCAGCCGCAGGCTCACCAGCTTGGGCTGTGGCGGTGAAGCAGAGGCTGCCTGTCTGCGGCCGCGCCAGAACAGTCTCTGCAAAACACTCACTGCGGGCGTGAATCTTACGAGATCCCGGTATGCAAACCACCATTAGTCACGCATTGATTGATCCGCGCCTCCAGGAGCTTCAGTTCCAAACGCAGACGAGGCGGCCTTTCAGGACAACCTCGCTCTCACCCCGCCTGTGTCATCCACTCCTTATTTTTAAAGCTACTTCATAAATGAGGTCTTTTTTAGATTTAAATGCGTGGACCCCTTCTAACTCTCCTGCATCGCGAAGATTGACACCGTGAGGTTCCTGTATTTTTATGGGCACACACGGGCACACCGGATTTCTCCATCTTTCTCAAAGACGTTTTCATTGGAAAACAGATGTAGTGAATTTATAAATAGGAAGGTGGGAAAACAATACTACTCTCTTCACATTAGCCAAGCCCTGTGATTAAAGCGAACACAGAGCTTGGCCCAGAAATTCACTAGAATTCAGCATCACTGTGGAATATCTAGGGGTAGGCAGATTCTTTTTTTCTTTTCTTTTTTCTGATTTCTTTAAAACGGGACGTTCCTGTCTTAAGTATCTTCCTCTGAGAATTGTATGCAATATTCATAGTTAGATTTGATATCAGAACTCAGTTATTGGCAATTTTCTTAGGATATGTTTAGAGCTAGGATATATAAAATGACAAGGATAGATGTTTTCTATATCTGACCGTGATTGTTTTTTTTTTTTTTCCTTTTAAAGAGGAATAGGCAGGAGTTGTATAAATGTCTACAAAGGCAGTGTCTCCATAAGCTGTGGTTTGTATATTATATTTTACCTTAATATAATAAAATATGTTTTGCAGAGGAGAGACTGGAGGCAGGGACAACAGTTATTTTAAGTTTATTCCATAATTCTGGGTCCTTACTGATCACACAATTGTGCAGGTAGATTGAAAACTTTGGTCTAATGTAATTATAATGCAGTTAATGTAATTAATAACTAATCATTGCATTATATAGAAGGGTATCGCTGATATAGTAATAATGATAATTATTAAGAAATTTTATATAATACTAACCAACCTTGAAATGCTAGAATTTTATTTAAAAGAACTACAGGGGTGCCTGGGTGGCTCAGTCGGTTAAGCATCAGACTCTTGGCTTCAGCTCAGGTCATGATCTCAGGGTCCTGAGACTGAGCCCCACCCATGTCAGGCCCCACACTCATTGTGGAGCCTGCTTAAGACTCTCTGTCCCTCTGCCAAATAAATAAGTCTTTTTAAAAAATAAAAAATAAATAAAAGAACTACATTAGAAGGGTAACATGTAATGTTTATACATAACTCCAGTGGACTAGTAACTACTAGGCCAATTGTATCTGTTGTTGGACACACACTGTTAATGACTTTCCTGGGCTGGATGAAGGTGTTTTTGTTCTTGTTTTTCTCTCGGCTTCTCTTTAAAAAAGAGAGAGAGAAATGCGGAGATATTGGTCAAAGAGTACAAACTTCCAGTTATATGAGAATAAGTTGTGCGGATCTAATGTACAACATGGTGATTATAGCTAATAATGCTGTATAACATGCTTGAAAGTTGTTGAGAGTAGATCTTAAATGTCCTCACCACAAAACTGAAATGGTGATTATGTGATGGAATAGTGGTATTAGCTAATGCTGTGGTGCTAATCATTTCTCAGTCTATAAATTATCAAATCAATGCACTGTATACCTTAACTTACACAATAATAGAGATAGAGTGAGAAAGCTATTTTTCTAACCCGATGAATGAGTAAGAAAGGACAACTTAACAAAAGAAAGGATGGTCAAGGGATGCCCACAAGACCTAAATCCTTTGCATGGCCTTGTAGGCCCTGCATGATGTAGGCCATGCCCACGACTGGCCTCATCTTGTTTTATAAAAGCCTCAGCCGCTGCCTCCCTCCATCCTCCCCTCCAGCTACTCCTTCCTCATCTAGGCCTCACTCCTCAGTCATGCTGTTCCCTCTACCTAAAATGCTTTTCCCCTTACCTCCTACCCATCTCTTCTCACTTGTCTTCCAGATGTTAGCATACGTATGTAATGTCACGTCTCCCTGTTATACAATTGTTGGTGTTTTTTTTTTAAAGATTTTATTTATTTGAGAGCGAGAATGAGAGAGAGAAAGAGAGCATGAGAGGGTGAGGGTCAGAGGGAGAAGCAGACTCCCTGCC